TTTTCACGTCATGATTAATACGCACCAGTTTGCATACACTTGAAACATTTTTTCGCTAATAGTTTTTTTTAATTTTCATTAAAATAGGAAATGTTCTTACTGTCTAAAATTTGGCCACCACTTGCAAGGACCCTGTAGAAAACAAATTCACCAGAAAATTTCTATTTTCACTGAAAAAGGCAACAAACAGGAGACAGTCCCACTTGAAAACACTTTACATCTAGAAAAACAATTGGGAGATTTGAAGGGGCCACAAAATATGTTTTCACTTTGATCAGCTAGTGCTTAGACGATAGAGCTCGTCATGTTCACGGAGCATTTTGCAGGTTGTGGGATCTTGCTACTAACACAGGTACCGATAGAGTAACCAAAGGGTTGTCTCAACAGCGGCGATATGTCAAAGGAGACGTCAAACGTAGTAGCGCGGTCACCACATCTCCGCAGTAATATAGACGACGTTTAGGGCTACATTACCGCGGGTCGGTTCGATTAATTACCTCCGTCGGTGCCAATGATCGTCTACCTGGTCTCACTCTCTCGAATATAGAGGGAGGAGAAGATACACGTACCAGAGTAAGGACAGAGTCCAAGAGCATTTATTAGAATACTCTTAAAACGAACTACAATGTCCCCATCCAAAATGCCCCCCGCGCCGGCAAGGTAAGAAAAGGTCCTTACCTGGCCAGACGCGGGGTTCCGGAGAGCCAAGACCGGGGAAGCATCGGAGAAGTCGCCGACGCACGTCCTATCTCTTTCGCGGTCACCCGGACGAGTCCCTTTCCCGAAAGCGGGAGAACAAGAGGCGAAACCTCCTCGCCTGTCGGCAGTGATTCGCATCCGAGCAACACCACCTAGGTGGTGTTGATCCGAGCGGGGGGACGGAAAGAGGTCCCCCCGGGAGAGAGTGAGAGGAGAGCCCCCCAAGCCAGGCGGCCCTCCGCCTCACGAACAGGTCGGAGCTCACGGCGAAGAAGGCCGAGCGTTCCGACCCGCGGCCGTTATCACAGCCATCGGGGAAGGGAGACCAGAGGAATCCCCACAAGGTGCTAGCTTTTAATTACACTAATTATTTTGCAAATCAGAAACAACATCAACGATGACAAGAAAAACATGGATGCTCTAATCTTTCTTTCCTGCTCCACTGATTTTTGTTTTTTCTTGGGAACATAAGGTGACATGAGCACGATGTGCCAAATGCAGTTTGAAAGCTGCCAACAAAAATTAGAGTAGTACCTTGTGGATACAGCGTGCTTTCCGCTGATGTGCTTCGACTTTTTGCAAATCCTGCATACCACAGCATCCACCTACTTCCTTCTGAGGTTACATTTTTATGTTATTACATTCCATCTTGAAACAATGGTGCCACGAGTGATTACATATGATTATTTTCTTATATAGTTCACGACAATCCCAAACCGAGCCACGTGGATTCACAAGGCCCCCGCTTGCCAGGGCAAGGCCCTCGGCAAGCCGGAAGGAGGAACCACGCTGTTCAGGGCCAGAGGCGACACCATGGTAAAAACTGCCCGTCTCTTCCGTATATCCAAGATGGACTCTAACTGCATCCGATTAATGTCTCGTTATTACAGACCCCAATAATACGCCGTAAATAGACAACGTTTTTGAGAAGAAGCTGGGTTAACACGTGAACTTTTGTCTCATTATCACGGACACCTCATAATATGGACGTTTTTTTGGGGAAAGGGGGGGAAACGGATGTCACCTGACGTCACGGAATTTCCCGTGAAGTTACGTCGTGTGTCCACGTGGTCTTATGGCGCCACATGACACCGTGACGTCATGCGACACTGACGTCACGTGACCACGTGACATGAAGTCTCCAAAAATCGTTATATCTAAACGTTAAAGCGCGATCCAAACCAACGCTTCTTTTTGCGCCTGTAGGTCGTGCGGCTGCGGATGTGACGTATTTTCGTGACGTCGCGCCGCTTCTTCGCTCCTTCCGGGCGCGCACGAGAAAGTTGGATAATTTCAACTTCTTTCTCAACGCGCACAAAAACGCGCGGTGACGTAGTAGGGCGCTCCTGTGTCCCGGCCAATCGGTGGAGGGCAAGCTAGTTCCGGCTCCGTGTTTCTCGCCGTCTGGCTGCCCTCTCCTCCCCCCCTTTTATTCTCTTCCAACATCACAACGCGATCTCTCTCTCTCTCTCTTTCTCTCGCCGTCTGGCCGGCCAGTCTGTCGCAGTTGCACCTTGCTTGCGCGCTCGTGCCTGCGTGCGCGCTCACCCGAAGTTTCGCCCGTCCAAACCAAAGCGCACGGTTCTGACTCAGAAAGCGCGCCCGGAAACAGCAAAAACGCCACGAAATGCGTCACATCCGCAGCCGCACGACCTACAGGCGCAAAAAGAAGCGTTGGTTTGGATCGCGCTTTACGCGCCCGATCTCACCCTTGCGGTGGTTACCATCGAAACTGGTGGAAAACGTTAACAGTGGTTTGCTCTACCGTCTATCTAACTCCTGGTTGGCTCAGTTGGCAGAGCGCTCCGCTTGTCACGGAGACGTCCCGGGATTGAATTTCGAACTGGACGTTTTTTGTTTTTTTTTCAGAGGCCACAAGTCGCTTAAAAATTTCCGCTCCATTTTAAGCGGCAATCCACTGATTCTTGCATAAATCGTCCCCACCTTGGGGATTTCTCCCCAAGGCGGGGACGATTGTCTTTTTGACTGACGACCGTAGAATATATGGTATTTTTTAACCGTGTAATGCTTTCCATACACAAGCATTATACTTATTTTTTACACTATGTACTTTATTCTATGTAATTCATGCCTATACGCATTTTTACATAGTATACTTTATAGGCCATTTTTTTCGCTGTCTTACTTCCAGATAGTGTTTCTTCTCTGTGATTTATTGCGCTTCCTGGTGTTGTTAGTACGCATATGTAATTTTTTTTTCCTTGTATGATGTCTCAGTGTTATTACGATATTGTGTTGCTGTAGGTTTTTGCATGTGCGGATGCTTTTTTTTTGTTGTTTTTGCTTTTTGTATTTGCCGCTGGATTTTGCCGTCCTTACCGGCCGCTGGCACCTCGTCAGGCAACCTGTTTGCCTTTTGTGCCAGCGGACCGTTCAAGTCGAATTTGAATTTGACTTGAGAAAATGAAATGTTTGATTGATTGATTGAAGTCATTATACGCGAGGATACGGCTGGTCACATCGAGTGACACCATGGCGTCGCAGCGTCATGTTCCTTCATAATACAACGTGACGTCATCTCGATGTTCACGTGATGACGTCACGGCGAACCTTCTAAACTGCTGGTAGTGTCGAGCGAACACTGAAGTCATGAACGTGACGTCACCATCGAGGTTAATTGCCAGAGCCACGAAATCGCGAAGGGCTGGCCCAATAAATGCTATGCATTTGAAAATCAACAAGGTTTCGCGCATAATTGTCTAGTATGTTCAAGCAAAACACGAGTGTGATGAGAGCAATGCTTTGAAGACCATAAAAAAATTTAAAAAACTTTAAAAAAGTATTTTTTTTTTTTTTTGCGGCTAGATTTCTTATTTAACCTTAGCTGACAAGTAATCTAAGGCTTTTCGTAGACATTTTTTTTAAAATTAAGGCTGGTTCACACACTTTACATTTAGGACCGAGTGCCTTTAAACCTATAGGAATCTCTTTGGACGAGAGTAGAGTTCCTGTATAGGCTTCCAACGGGAACCAGAGTTGCGCGTTCATCCCCGTAGCGCCGGCTTTCCTGCACGGCGTTTGGAGTCTGCTACTCACGTGACTGAATTCGGTGAATAGCGGCGCCGCGCTGTTTCTCCTCTTTTCCTGGAAAACAGGAAATGAAAGGAAGAGGCAAAAGCAGGGAACGTACGCCGAGGCGCTTGCACCGTCGGCGAAGCGGCCGTACCGGTGGCTTCCCTGCAGGGCATTTGGAGTCTGTTCCTCACGTGATCGGATCTCGGCGAATAGCGGCGCGGCGGCACGTGAAAACAGACGCGTAGCTCTGGCTCCCGTAGGGACTCTAGACGAGAGAACACACTCACGCCATCTATTCGGTGGCCGTGGAACACTTGGCATTTCCGTACTTTCCGATTTTTTTCTCGCATTACTTTCTCTTGGCTGAAATGCTTTTGACAATGTTAAAAACGATCATTTCTCGCTGATAGTACGCAGATTTAATCTTTCAAATACAAAAAAAAAAAAATATTTGCTCTAAGCAAATGCTGTTCTAGGGTAAGCTCAGGGACGGCACCAGCATACCAGTGTGTTCTCTTCTGGTAAGAGATTAGAAAAATTCAATCGAAGCAAACGCAAGTGTTGGAACGGGCTTTTAAAGGGGTAGTGAACCGAAATTTGAATTTCAGAGAACAATGCAGGAGCTGTAGGCAGGACGCTACAATCCCTACAACACTACCCGTAAGGCAATATCTAAAATCAACAACCGCATTAAAAAAAAAAAAAAAAAAAAAAAAAAAAAGTCGAGATTGAACGAGGAAGACAAGGCGCGTGACGTAGAGATATCTCGTTTCCCCCTCTCTTCGTTTCGCCCGCTCAAGGCGGCGAGGCGGAGAAGAAGCGAGGCCGTTCCCTCTCCTTCTCGACTCTTCAAAGAAAAACAAGACGTGAATATGTCTGTCAAATGCGCCTCCTTTTTCTGAAAAATACAGTCATCCGTTCGATATCGTTGTATGAGTGATGTTTTGATGTTTGTGGCACCCCGTTGCACGCTTTGGGCCGCCGCGTTTTGTGGAATCCAGATTTCGGTTCAGCATCCCTTTAAGTTAGAAAAATGCCCAATGGTCAAAAAGGCAGTGTTGCTTACAGCAGGATTTGAAATGTTTCAGTTTCAATTCAAACCTTTTTTTGGGTGTCTGGGACCGTAATTGTTTTGCTACATATGTGTAAATTCTCATCAAAGTGTTTGTTTTTGTTATGCTGATGTAAATTCAAACCCTAGGATATGAAGAAAAAAAAAATTCAGGGAAGTGTTTTTTTTTTTTTTTAATTTCCGGTTTGTCTACAGCGCTGGTTGGTGCGTTTGGTAACCCCCAAGCCGTTGGCCCTTATGTGCACGAAGTGGAACGATACCGAGGTATGGACCCCTAGCAACATATACCCTTAAACCGGGGCATGTGCCAGCTAGAGGAACTATTTTTTTTTTAATGCGAAAGCATCAACTGTCTTATGGAGCGAACCGGTGTTATCGACTTTTGGAGTCGCGCGCCAAACGGCAGCTAAATTCTCCTGTCCCAATGGAGCGAAGCCTGTAGTCTGTGGTAGCGATTTGATGGATAGGCTCCCATTGGCTGTTACGCGTCATATTTTTTAATATTTACGGTAACGGAATGGTACTTTCACAGTTTATAGTACTGGATCTTCTTTTTATAAATCTGGTGTTAGTTTTGACGTGCCTTTATTTTTATGTTCTTGGCGCTATGCACATGCAGAAAGAAAAAAAAAAAAAACATTCTCGCGCACATGTGGGGCATGGAAACACGCTTAAAAGAGCCGAGTAAAATAAACTGATTCGCTCCTTTTATACCACTGAGTGCAATGAAGAAGAAAAATAATGTGTGCGAGACATATCTTGTCCTAAACTAATTGAAAAAAAAAATTAAAGGATATCAAAGTTTTTTGAAATTTTGCATAAATATAAAAATATACATTCTAACCAAACCACAATAGTTGCATTTTATGTAATCTAAAGCATATCTGCGATAAATATGGTGGTGATGGCATAAAATTAAGAAGACAAGTTATTGTACGCAAACAACAATGTGTCGCGCATAATCGTCTATGTTCAAGCCAAGCACGAAAAAACGGCGCTTTGAAGAACTAAAAAAAAGTATAATTTTTGGTGGGCTAGATTTCTTACAAGAAGAGTGTTTGTTTGGGCGAGTTGGTTTGACATCTTATGCAATCTTGTGCGCAGCAAGGACGACGACAAAAGAAGAGAACAGGACACAACAAGGCGCACCTTGTTGTGTCTTGTTCTCTTCTTTTGTCCTTGCCTGCGTACAAGATTGCATAAGATTTCTTACCTAAACTTAGCTGACAAGTACTCTGGAGCTTCTGGTAGACTTTTTTTTTTTAAGTTACCCGTTAAGGCTGGTTTACACACGTGAGACATTTCGACCAAGTGGCTTACAAGTTACAACCTCTGGGGACCTCTTTCGGCGAGAGAACACACGTCATCTATCAGCTGGCCATGGAACCCTTGGCATTTGCCTACTTTTCTATTTTTGTTTCGTGCATTACGTTTCTTTTTTCTTTTTTGCCGGAGAAATTGTTGACAATGTTGTAAACGGCCATTTCTAGGAAGTACATTTGACCTCTCAACTACTGCAAAAAAATTAAAACGAAAACATTCGCTTTATGAAAATGCAGTTCCAGGGTCACCTCATAGATGGCGCCAGCGTGTTTTTCCCGTCTTAAGAAAGGCAAGAACTCGGTCGAAGCAAACGCAAGTGTGTGAGCGGGCCTTTATGTTAGAAACAAATGTTCGAAAGGTCACAAAGGCAATGTTGTTTACAGCAGGATTTGAAATGTTTCAGTTTCAACTCGCGGCGTTCTTTGGTGTGTGTGTGTGTGTGGGGGGGGGGGGGGGGGGGGGGACCATACCTGTTTTGCCGTATGTGTATACTTCTCGTCAAAATATTTATGTTCGTTATGCTGAGATAATTAAAAACTCTAGAATATGCACAAAAGTTGAGGAGAATTTTTTTCAATTCCCGGTTTTCCTATACAGCGCTGGTTCGTGCGTATGCTATCTACCGAGCTGTCAGCCGTTACATGCATGGAGTGGAACGGGACCAAGGTATGGAGCCCTAGCAACTATAGTCTTAAGCCGGGGTCACACCGCTTATACATCGTACAAAATGCAGTCTGCACACAGATGCGAACGCGAGCCTCCGCGAGATCCGCGCTTCAAATGCCGCGTGGCAATGTGTTCAAGGAGAAAACTTGGCACGCGGCATTGGAACCACGGATATTGCGGTTCGCAGACTGTCTTTTGTATGATGTATCATCACCTGTGGCACTTATATTCACTCACTGTTTAAAAACCGCAGGGAGTGGCTTTCCGTGCCTCACTCCTTGTAAAAGAACTTGTGGTTGGGCTAGTCGGTGTTGACTGTATCGAACCATGGTTAAAAGCGCTAAAAAAAGACGTACACATGATAGAAGACAAACACGGGCACTTCACTCCTTGCTTCCTGATGGCTCTCTCCCATGTTCTATCGACTAAAGCGCGAAACACATGTACGACGAAACCGTCCGATCCGACGTCCGACCGCGCAATACGACGGTCGGACGTCGGGATCGGACAGTTTCGTCGTACATGTGTTTCCCGCTTAATGCCAGAAGCCTACTGACTGCGGATGAATAGTAAGATGCTCAGCGGTGATCGCCACGCCTTATGTTCCTTAAGGTGTCAGTCATTTGAGCCAGACTCTTAAATACGCGGAAAAGCTTTCGTAAGTACTATTTAAAATTTCCGGCTTGCTTACAGGGCTTCTGCGTCTTCCGGGAATTATGAGAATAATCAACGCCTTTGTCCGAGCGGAGCAACAAAACCAAAAAAGGTAAAGAGCCACGCCATTGGAGAGTCATATTGTGTGCTCTGTTGCCCCGGCTTCAGAGTGGGACACTGCCCAGTTTTCCAGTTTAAATAAGCATAGTGTTTTCCTAAATATCGATCTTACAAAGATTCAGAGTGAACAGGGACAAACACAAATAGACCCCGTTTTTGCGAAATTCAGCGCCATCTGGTGGTTAAAAACTCTGTTTCACTATCCTCAAACTATGGCGGTCATGAAAGCGTATTTTACCGAGCACCGTAACCTTCGAATGTAAATGGCAGGTAATGATCTTCGATCACCTCGTAATTCTTCGTTTGTTTCAGTTTCGATGGTGTGAACATAGGAACTGACCAGTAGAAAGCGGTGACCCACAAGACCCTCGATTAAACTTTCGCCACAAACTTATGCCAATCAATCGCTTGGCACATGTATGGCTTTATAGGCTAACTCGTGCCAAGCGATTGATTGGTCCACTCCAAACAATCGCTTACGCACACCTTGTATCTAAGTCGTGCGTCACGTTTTACTGACGTCTCGGACGTGGAGGCCTCATATACCCTCCATTTGGAAAGTATCTTCAACTCCTTCCTTCATTAGCCTCAAAAAGGCCGCCATTATAGTTTGGCACAGATGCCATACACTGCGACGATAATAGTGATCAAAACTGCATTGCAGGAATCTGTTTTCTGCTCCACAGGCAGTCCCCATACCCGGTGAGGGCAAAAGATGACTCGTTTGTGAAAAGCGTGTCGATTTTTTTTTTTTTTTTTTATATACTTTAGATGAAATCAGGGCGAATGCTTATATAAACTTTCTATAAATATTCGAGATCAATCAGGCGAGAAGAAAGAAAGCAAGAAAATATTAAAGAAATGGCAGTTGACCACGGGCCATCTATCATGTTGGCTACGCGAGCAATTATATTATGCTATTTTATTATTAGCAGTTAACTCTGAAAACACTTGTCGTTATTGCACACTTCAGCGTTAAATATTTC